TGCGAGGTCCCTATTGAATTTGCTCGGATTATTAGGGCCCGAGCACGACCGTGCGAGGTCCCTATTGATTTGCTCGGAGTATTTTTATTTTTTTTATTTTTTTATTTTTTTCTGCAAAGTAGGCCCAAATGACATGGCCTAAACATACTCGAAAACTCACCAAAATTTGCAAACATGTCAGAACCGGTGAAAATTTCGTATTCTACAAGTTTCGCACATGGGCGTGGCAAAATGACTCGCTAGCGCCACCTAGAAAATTGGAAATGATTAGCCCCTCGTTCACGTTCAACCTACATGTACGAAATTTTCTGGGGACATGTATCGTATCAAGACGCACAAAAAAGCCTCAAGAACCCATAGCCTAAAGTCAACAGGAAGTCGGCCATTTTGAATTTTACGGCCATTTTGGATGATTTACACACTTCGTACTTTAACGAACTCCTCCTAGGGATTTAGTCGGATCGACGTCAAATTTGTGCTGTGCCTTCTAAAGGCATTGACGATGAAAAGTTGTGCTATTTGCGCGTTTTCGTCAATGGGCGTGTCCGTGGCGTCGATGATTCGCAATGAAACAGGAAGTTGTTGTAACTTCAGTGTACATGCTCACATCTGGACCAAACTGTACATGTAGGATGAGAGTCCCGCCCTGAACACATGTACATGCCGACATTCACCCACAGTCATAGCGCCACCTGCTGGCAACAGAAAGTGACCTTTAACGAAGCAGCCTCCGCCGCACGTTTCACCTACATGCACGAATTTTCTGTGGTACGTGTATCTTGTCCAGACGCACAAAAATGTCTCTTGGAGCCATAGCCTAAACCCAACAGGAAGTCAGCCATTTTGAATTTTACGTCAAATTTTGGATGATTTACACACTTCGTACTTTAACGAACTCCTCCTAGGGATTTAGTCCGACCGACCTCAAATGTTTGCTGTGCCTTCTAAAGGCATTGAAGATGAAAAGTTGTGCTATTTGCAAGTTTTCGTCAATGGGCGTGTCCGTGGAGTGGCGTCAAAGATCAGCTCTTCGCCATGACACGGAAGTTGTCGTAACTTCAGTGTATATGCTCACATCTGGACCAAACTGTACATGTAGGATGAGAGTCCCGCCCTGAACACATGTACATGCCGAAATTCACCCACAGTCATAGCGCCACCTTCTGGCAACAGGAAGTGACTTTTAACGAAGCAGCCCCCGCCGCACGTTTCACCTACGTGCACAAATTTTCTGTGGTACGTGTATCTTGTCCAGACGCACAAAAAAGTCTCTTGGAGCGATGCCCTAAAACCAACAGGAAGTCGGCCATTTTGAATTTTACGTCAAATTTTGGATGATTTACACATTTCGTACTTTAACGAACTCCTCCTAGGGATTTAGTCCGACCGACTTCAAATTTGTGCTGTGCCTTCTAAAGGCATTGAAGATGAAAAGTTTTGCTATTTGCAAGTTTTCATCAGATCCAATCCAGACAATGGAATAAGACACGCACACACAAAAAAAACCTGACCGATTTCACCAGAGCGGCTGGACATACACACCCAAAATGGCGGCGCCCAGTAAAGCCACAAGGTCTTCTCGCTCTTGAATCAGCAAAGACTGTACATCGCGGGGAATTCTACAGACATCAAAGCTACAGACGCTGCTAGTAGTCGTCTCAAACGCTATATCTAAACACTGAACTTACAACTACAGTCTTACAGCAGTTAGCTACCACATTTGTAGTGTTGAAGTTAGCCTCAGTGTAGTTCGTTTTTAGCTGTATTTTCTCCAGGTTTCTCCGTTTTTCACAGTTTTCATCCTCTACAGCAGCATAGCACTTCTGTCTCTCCACACACACAGCAGCGGAAAAAAACAAAAAACTTTCGCTCGCTCCCAGAGACACGGGAGCAGGTGGGCGGGCCTACCTGCTGTCAGCTGATTGGCCAAACTAACCTGTCGGTCTATTTTGCCCTGGTAACTGAATTTTAACCCTTTAAAATCCTTAGATAATCTCTCAAGTTGCATTTCAAGAATAAAATCACTCTCATTCAGATTTTTATAGGCTTTTCCTATTTTTAAACCTAGATCATTTCATCTGTGTTACACGACTTTTGCACCTGAGCTCTTTGGGTTAGTGAAAGTATCAGATGTTTACAGTCCAGAACTAAATCTGATCTGTGTAAAGTGATTGTGACAGATATGAAATCTATAATGTCAATGATTTGTATTGGTTGGGTCAACTGACACTTAGACTTAAATGTACATTTATTATCACATGATTGTATGTGGTTGCCTAGACACCTCCGTCTCCTGACTCAGACCCACTGCAGGCATAGCGTCATCGCAGCAGTCTGTTCTACTGACCGGAATAGAAAGAGGGGGATGAAGATTAAAAGTTGAAGCTGTGGTTGTGGAAAGGTGACCTCTGTGCATGTTCATCTATGCAGCAGCCTCCACTGGCTTTTAGATGCTTTTTAACTCCATTCAAAAAGTGAAACTTGGATATTATATTCATTCATTACACACAGACTGATATATTTCAAATGTTTTTTTCATTTAATTGTGATGATTAAAACTGACAACCAAATTCAGTATCTCTGAAAATTAGAATATTACTCAAGACCAATACAAAAAAAGGATTTTTAGAAATGTTGGCCAACTGAAAAGTATGAACATGAAAAGTATGAGCATGTTCAGCACTCAATACTTAGTTGGGGCTCCTTTTGTCTGAATTACTGCAACAATGCGGCGTGGCATGGAGTCGATCAGTCTGTGGCACTGCTCAGGTGTTATCAGAGCCCAGGTTGCTCTGATCGTGGCCTTCAGCTCTTCTGCATTGTTGGGTCTGGCGTATCGCATCTTCCTCTTCACAATACCCCATAGATTTTCTATAGGGTTAAGGTCAGGCGAGTTTGCTGCCCAATAAAGAACAGGGATACCATGGTCCTTAAACCAGGTACTGGTAGCTTTGGCACTGTGTGCAGGTGCCAAGTCCTGTTGGAAAATGAAATCTGCATCTCCATAAAGTTGGTCAGCAGCAGGAAGCATGAAGTGCTCTAAAACTTCCTGCTAGACGGCTGCATTGACCTTGGACCTCAGAAAACACAGTGGACCAACACCAGCAGATGACATGGCACCCCAAACCATCACTGACTGTGGAAACTTTACACTGGACTTCAAGCAATGTGGATTCTGTGCCTCTCCTCTCTTCCTCCAGACTCTGAGTCCTTTATTTCCAAAGGAAATGCAAAATCAGAGAACATAACTTTGGACCACTCAGCAGCAGTCCAGTCCTTTTTGTCTTTAGCCCAGGCGAGACGCTTCTGATGCTGTGTCTTGTTCAAGAGTGGCTTGAAACAAGGAATGCGACAGCTGAAACCCATGTCTTGCATACGTCTGTGCGTGGTGGTTCTTGAAGCACCGACTCCAGCTGCAGTCCACTCTTTGTGAATCTCCCCCACATTTTTCAATGGGTTTTGTTTCACAATACTCTCCAAGGTGTGGTTATCCCTATGGCTTGTACACTTTTTTCTACTACATCTTTTCTATCCCTTCGCCTCTCTATTAATGTGCTTGGACACAGAGCTCTGTGAACAGCCAGCCTCTTTAGCAATGACCTTTTGTGTCTTGCCCTCCTTGTGCAAGGTGTCAATGGTCGTCTTTTGGACAGCTGTCAAGTCAGCAGTCTTCCCCATGATTGTGTAGCCTACAGAACTAGACTGAGAGACCATTTAAATGCCTTTGCAGGTGTTTTGAGTTAATTAGCTGATTAGAGTGTGGCACCAGGTGTCTTCAATATTGAACCTTTTCACAATATTCTAATTTTCTGAGATACTGATTTTGGGGTTTTCATTAGTTGTCAGTTATAATCATCAAAATTAAAAGGAATGAACACTTGAAATATATCAGTCTGTGTGGAATGAATGTACAGTATACATTATACAAGTTTTACTTTTTGAATGGAATTACTGAAATAAATCAACTTTTTGATGATATTCTAATTATATGACCAGCACCTGTAAATGCCTTTCCATTCAGGGTTCACTCTTCACTCAATCTATCTGTACTGTCTCACTGTGACCACAGGAGGGCAGTAGAGTGATAAACACCCTGTCCAGTGATCACCATGGAGGACTGTGGATTCACCATGCTCTGCTGTTAGTTGTATCTGGCTGTGTGTAATCTTGTTTACCAGAGGGGGGTGCCCTTACTGTGTGTACAGCCGTAACCCTACACACACTCATCTGACTTTGGTCCTAAATTAACAGCAATTCACCACCTTAATAGTACTGCTAAATAAACCAAATGCACTCATATGGTGCCTGTGCTAGATTAATGATCTCATTATGAGCCCACTGCAGAGATGGTAATGTGAGCCATTTTATGTGTGGACTAAGAGTCTAGGAGAAAATACTGCATCTGAAAACAGGTGGAGCCTGTTACCCACTTGTTATATAGGTAACAACTGGGAATATCCTATAAATGTGTGGATCCCATAGAGCTTAAATAATAAAATAAAATTATAAAGAATAAAAAAATGGCATAACAATACTGGGCATCTATCCACCAAGGTCTCTGCAGCGGTGCTCCAAATTCAAGATCAAGTCATCTGAGATCCATAGGTAGGGCAGGCTACTGAGACCAAATCTAAACTCACTGATACACACTAGTCTATTGCTATCCCACTAAAATTCTTTAAAATTAAAATTTCTTAACCTACAGGCTAACATATGGATCCTGCAGTAACCTGCTAAGTCTATTCAGGTCCCATGTGTGTCTGGCCATGTGGGTCGGTAATGGAGTTATGGTGGACCACAACAACCCATGTGAGCAATCAATCAGAAATGCACAGAAATCATTATTTGCATGTGCTTTGATGATATCTCACATTTAAACCTTTCCATGCTTTCCAACTTTCTTCATGATTATAAATTAGTGTTGTCTTGCATAATATTAACTTGAGCTGAATCATTTCAGCTGTTGAAGAAAATTAAAAGATTGATGATGTTCTACCAACCAGTGTTCCCTTTATTCCAGGTGGTCCTTGTGGCCCAGGCAGCCCTCTCTCTCCCTAAAAGATATTCAAGAACACAGACGGGAATGACTTTAAGTCACCAACATAAACCAAAGGTCACATTCTACCTGAGGACCCTTTGGGCCCGCTTCCCTGGACGCCCTATTATTTTCATTATTGATTAATCTGTCGATTCATGAAATTATGGCTGCAAAGCAGTTTCCACAATGTAGTGATATATAGTATAACTTTTTTCATTTCATTTCACTGGTGAAAATTACTAATGACCTCCTAATTGCATCACACAAAGGACTTGTCTCTGTACTGGTTTTATTAGATCTTAGTGCTGCATTTGATACCATTGACCATCTGATCCTATTACAGAGACTGGAACATTTAATTGGCATTAAAGGAACTGCTCTAAGCTGGTTTAAGTCCTATTTATCAGAATGATTTCAGTTTTTACATGTTAACAATGAATCCTCCATGCACGCCGAAGTTAGTAATGGAGTTCCACAAGGATCTGTGCTTGGACCAATCCTCTTCACTTTATATATGCTTCAAGATGTTAAAACCTGGATGACCTGTAATTTTCTAATGTTAAACTCAGATAAAACTGAAGTTATTGTTCTAGGGCCCAAGCACCTCCGTGACACATTATCCAAAGATATAGTTTCTCTGGATGGCATCGCCCTCGCCCCCAGCACCACTGTGAGGAATCTTGGAGTTATCTTTGATCAGGATATGTTGTTCAAGTCTCACATCAAGCAAATTTCAAGTACCACCTTTTTTCACCTATGTAATATTGCAAAAATCAGGAACATCCTGATGCAGAAAAACTAGTCCATGCATTTGTTACTTCTAGGCTGGATTACTGCAATTCCTTATTATCAGGCTGCTCGAAAAAGTCCATTAAGACTCAGATTCAGCTCAATCAGAATGCTGCAGCACGTGTTCTGACAGGAACCAGGAAAAGAGATCATATTTCTCCTGTCTTAGCTTCTCTGCATTGGCTTCCTGTAAAATCCAGAATAGAATTTAAAATCATTCTTCTTACCTACAAAGCTCTTAATGGTCAGGCACCATCTTATCTTAAAGAGCTCATAGTACCTTACTACCCCACCAGAGCACTGCGCTCACAGAATGCAGGGTTACTTGTGGTTCCTAGAGTCTCCAAAAGTAGACTAGGAGCCAGAGCGTTCAGCTATCAAGCTCCTGTCTTGTGGAACCAGGTTCCAGTTTGGGTTCGGGAGGCAGACACCATCTCCACATTTAAGAGTAGGCTTTAGGCACCAGTGAGAAGGTCTCTGGTGATACTTGAAATATGAGACGGGTCAGGTTTTCTGGTGAAACATGAGCACCAATCAGGGTGACAACAAATATTTCAACCTGGAAAAATTCACAAACACTGGAGTGAAGCAGGCCCTGCATGGTAACATTTGTCTTACTCATCCATCAACTCATCAGCATACTGTCTGTGGACGATGAGGCCAGAGGAGGCAGATGTAGAACATGACAAAGAAGACCAAGCTTTTGGTCTGAACCACAGCTGTGAGTCAGTTCAGGGCTAATGACACAAGAAAGTGCTGTATGAACAGTTATACCATGGCTTGCTATGAAATGTTCATTGACAAGAACCAGTTAGTGATCTGCTTAGACTCTAAAGACATTACATTTGGTTGATTGCTGTTTATTGTGTGAAATGCTGGATCACAGCATCCTTTGTTGACATTTCATTCCATATAGTTAGATTATATGCATACAGTTGCTTCTGTTTGGCCACCCCTCTGACACTAAAAGACATCAGCTCTAAGCCAGCTGGAGAGGCAACAACCCCATCATCATAATCTAATGTTTGCTGAGAGATTTTCAGCTCTGCTCAGCATCCTTCATTCAGGGATTGTTTGTGTAATAATAAACCCTCAGACATGAACATGGAGAGATTAATGCAGCCTCTGATACAAGGCAATAACAACTGGGAAAACATAGGATAGTAAAACAATTTACAATAATAAAACCATCATCAACTTGATTTGGAAGGGAGGTTTGGCTTTAGGATGCAGTTGGAGCTACTCTGCAGGCAATGCTGTCTGCTACTGTGGCCCTATGGAGGTCTGTGTGTTCACATGCACATGTTAGCATTGTATTTTAAACATGGTGTTAATGGGTTCTGGGTATCAGTACTGAAGGCTGCTGAATAAGTAAGACAGGGAAAACAAGCTCCTCAGTTTGTGTGTGTGTCTGTGTGTCTGCGTGTCTGCATGTCTGCATGTGCTTTGCTTTTGACTCTGCTTCCTATAAAGTGAGTGTGTGGTTGTGGGGCGTGATAGTGATGAGTTTACCAGTCTGACGCTTGCAGAATGTAAAAGTATGAACATTTAGAGAGGTGGGACATTCACCAGTTGTTCCAAAGAGCAGCCTTTTAGCTGGAGGACTTGAAGTAATAAATGGTGACTTTCCATATTAACAATACTGTTTTATGCCTCATAAAAGTATATTCAACCTGCAGTATACCTAGTCGACAAGACAAGCAACAACCTCCATGACATGCCCAGAACATTGTGTCTTACTCACCTACGTAACATTATTTAACATAAAACTTTAAATAAGTCAGCGTTGACTTGGTTTCATATGGGACTCAAACCTAACCAAAATGAGTCAGCAGCGTTTTCAAACTTCTCAGTTTTAGGTCTTCGGATTCGCTGTTGTAGTCTAGACAGGAGGTGCAAACGTTGCAAACGGTCTGCGTTTTAAAACAAAAACGTAGTAGTGTGGATGTAGCCTCAGTCTCCTGGGTGAAACTTAAAAATGTGTTGTAATAAGCTGCTGCACAGTCAACATATACGGCTGTTTCTCTGCTGAGGATGGGCTGGGTCAGGAAGCAAACACATTCATCATTCACCCCAACCTTCACACACAAGCTTTCACTGCATGGTCTGCAACTCTTGCAATAAATGTGGTTTTTAAAACAAACATCACAGGATAATCAGATATGGCAGATATTTTTTATGGAAAATAAAATTATCAAAGACTTTTTCTTTTGGATTTAATTGACTTTTGAGCAAAATATTCTGCTTCCAGCATGGATGGTTTGAGCTGAAATATAGTCAGTAACACCTGACAGTAAAGCATGGACTGTAACTTTGTCTGACTGGTCGAAAACAACTTCCTGGTTTTAAAAACAGCATGTTTTTGAATTCATTTCTTTTAGCAGTTAATAAAGCCTGAGTGCTCATCGCCCCATGCATACATGAAGACTTAGGACAGCTTTGCCTATTCTATGTGTCCTAGTGTGTGCAGTGTGTGCAGTGTATGTGTGTGTTTACTAGCACACAGCAATGTGTAAAAGCAGCGGTGAATCGGAGCTCTCATGTTAATGTCCTGATTTGTCTTTCCTTTAGAACTTTATAGGACCATTTGAAAACCAGTTGCTTGTGATATCCATATAACGCTGAGTTAACAGATAAGTTACAAAACGATATTTGTCTCTGCGTTCATCAGCAGCTATAACACTGATCACTTTGTGAATTATGCTGTAATAACTTGTATTAATACATTGATCTTGTCATTGTTTCTGCAGATTAATTACAGTGATCTAGTTTAATATCTAATAACTGAAAAACAACAGATTCCAGGTGTTTATATTGTACACTTACTTTATGCAGCCTTCTGTAATAAATGACACATATTATCAACTCACCGGGGCACCTTGAGCTCCAGCAGCACCAGTCGGCCCAGTTTCTCCCTGAGGACACAACAGACATATCAATACCTTTCACTAATGAGTTCCAAGGGACAGCATGAGCTGTACAGTGTCTGATCACTGTCACTTATTCACATATTCCTGTTAAAGACATCACAACCCACAAGGATACGATCCAAAGAATACACATGTGGTGCAGCTACATATACTTACAGTTCAGGGAAATGAATGATTGTGGCTTATGAGCAAGTGAGTGAATGAATGAACAAAAGACAAGTCAGTCAGCTGCAATGAGTAAACAGTACAAGCAAGTGCTAGTTTTGCCTTTCTGATATCAAGCTCCTCTCCTGTGCAACCAGGTTCCAGTTTGGGTTCAGGAGGCAGACACCTTCTCCACATTTAAGAGTAGGCTTAAGACTTTTCTCTTAGATAAAGCTTATAGTTAGGGCTAGCTCAGGTGAGTCCTGAACCATCCCTTAGTTATGCTGCTATAGGCCTAGACTGCCGGGGGACTTCCCGTGATGCACTGAGCTCCTCTCTCCTCTACTTTCTCTCCCTCTGTATGCAACCTCATCCCATTAATGCATGTTACTAACTTGACTTCTTCTCTTTCCGGTAGTCTTGTGCTTTCTCGTCCCTCTCCTCTCTCCTCCTATCACTTCTGCAGGTGTTTCTGGCTCTGGAGATGTGGAGTCTGGATCTGTGGCTGCGAGTCACCTGCTGCCCCCGTGTTCCTGCTCGATACCCTCTGCTACAAATATTGTTACTAGTCCAGTCCTATCGTTATTATTGTTATTATTATCATTAACATTACGATTATTATTATAAACACTACTATAAATATTTGTACCATTATTCATTCAGTCTGTACCAACATTACATTTACTGTCTGTACCTCTGTGTGTTTATTGTGTAGGCTGCTCCCCCATACCCCCCCCCCCCCATCCCTCTCTCCCTCTTTATGGCTATCACTCTCTCTATCAGTCTTTCTACCTGTATTCATCACACAGCCGCAGGTGTGTGTGTTGTGTAATTTTGCTCAACAGAGATGAGGCTGATTTTGAATTAAAAACATGACGCAATATTTGCCGTCCCTGTAGTTATAGGCAGTGGTTTTAACAAGAGTGCATAGGCAAAAATCTGCCCGTGCAGTGGAGAAGCAGTGGTTTAGATTCACACTGCATTACAAAGTTTGCTCCTTCTGCTTGACTCCCTGTGAAAGCTTGGTTCTTGAAGTCATATATCAGCACTACTTGAATTTAAGGGAACTGTTTGGATTTGGCGTATCTGTGGTGTGATACTGACGCATGAACAGCAGTGTGGCCGGTGCTGTGGTCAGAGATCCTGCAGTGAGCCAGCGACAAACAAACATTTAAGCCACAACACAACATGCAAATAAAGTTTTAACCAGCCGCACCACAATCCACTGGTTGGTTTTGCTCTCAGACCTCTCTATACTGTTTAACTGTGTTTGCTGAATGTATTACGATGCAAGTGGTATGTGAACAGTGCAGCTGTAATACACTGACGCCGGCAATGAAAATGTGAAACAAGCTGTAAAATATCTCTTGGTACTGCAAGCCATTCATTTGTAAAATTACATGTTCGCTGCAGAGTTCTGACACTAAAACAATCTGTAGTTTTACACATAATAGACATATCGAACAATGTGGTACTGTCCCAACATAAACCCCTACTTCATGCTTTATCTGGCATCAAAAATCATCATAACTGTTATTTAAAGTATACTTGAGCCATCTACTAAATGTTGTGGAAGTGTTTTGTTGTCTCTGTACTGGATTAACCATGTGATATGTTTGTAGTCTGTGTTGCTTTTTAACTTACTGGGATCGCGTAGAACATCAAAAACTTAAATCTTGGGGTGGCCTAGTAGTTACGACCACTATATATATTTTTTTGTCAGCAATACGTGTCAACTACCCTACTATGTCTGTGGAGACATACATCTTTAATAAACAAATCACAAAAATATACTTTTAGTTAAAAAACAGGCTCAGTAATATCCTAAATCAGTTGCTCACTGCATTTTTTTTTTTTTAAGCAGCGGATGAATCCACGTGTGGTGCTATAGTGAGTATTTGGGGCAGCAGGATGGTGTATGTGGGACTGAGTCTGAATAAACTACAGTGTGTGTTCATGGTCATGAAGGAACATGTCACCCAACGTGTAGCAGTGAGGCATTCGGGCCGAATGAAATGATTGGCCGTGCCACAGACAATTTCTTTCACATTTCAGTCAGCATTTGATTTATTGATTGCTGTCGGGATGTAAAGAGAATTTCAACAAATATTACAAAAAACTGCTTCCAAAATAAACTGCCTAGCCCAGCTGTAAAGGGGCTATGTAGTATCATGTTGTAGCATGTCTACTTATGATTTTAATAAACTTATGAGGATTAATACAAATTATGAATTTTAATATTTAGAGAATATTAATTCATACAGCTCTCGTTTCGAGGTGCACCACCAGAGATTTAATTCACCCAGAGTCTCCGGACCTCTGGGTAGCGTTTTATACAATTATTCATTAGTGATCAGTTAGTTAATAATCGCTCAATTATCAAATCAATCAGTCAGTCTCATATCGAAGTAGTAAATTCTCGTGACAGGGACTTGGAGTTAGACAATACACACACACACAATTCCTGTGAAATTTATTAAATAACTAAAGGTGGATATGAATGCGGTTAAATATACATCAAAGAAATAAAAAATGGCTGAACAATGACAATGTGGAGTTCTATTGTCGGGAGATTTGATTCATACGGGAAGCTAATGGACGCAATTAGATGATACTAACTCGGTTAAATTTGTCTAGGAGTTTTAAGGATTAAAGATACTGGATTAACAGATTATTGGACATCACTGAACACAGAATGCCATGGTTTGGTCTTACTGCTTGTCGTTTCTCCCAGCCGAGTTGCTGGTCGGCGGCCTACGCTGGCGGAGTTCCATGCGTTCTCGGTTAGGACGGCTTAAAGCTGTTGGCCAGTCGCTTTCTCTGCCAGGGAATTGCTCCGAAGGTCCGTCTTGGTCGGCTTATTGAAGGAAGCTTGCAGTGGGAGGCCTTTACAACCCTGGCTCGGGTTAGAGGTTTGGTCGTCCTTTGTTACTGCTGGCGGGCCCACCTGGCTGGGTCCGGCTTCGGTGGGAGCAGTGTAAGTTAGCTCGACGAATAAAGCTTAAAAAGAACTTGGTCGTTCTTGAATTAAAATAGTGTAACTTAATGGTCTGATAACTTTTAACAAACAAAACCAAAGAAAATAAAAGCAAGTAAGTTGCTGGAAACGAGGGAAAAGCCGAGGAGCCTTCGCGGCGCCGGGTCGAACTTTAGGCGTTGCCGGGAGAGGGAGCACGCTGAGCGGGTGCCGAAATGCAGGCGAAGAGGGCAAGAGGACAAGAGAAACAACAAGAGCGCGTGTCGCTGCTTTTGTTTGTTGGGGCGTGGATCCCAGGGGGCTTGTTTCCTTTGAGAGGGAGGGCTTTGTTTCCGGTTTCCTGAGAGACTGTCTTTTTTTTTACTTTTAATATGTCTATTCAAATATCTATTTGCACGTATTGTAATCAAATATCTTCCCACAATCAAACCTTAATTGTGAAACGGTTATACCATTCTTAGTTTTAAGCATTTGATAAAAAGGAAAGCAATTGTCAGTAGTTCAACCTTAAAGTTAGCATTTCCTAGGAATCACATCAGATGAGAGGAACTTAACTAGCTTCCTGGATAATATTGGCCTTTACACATTCTTAGAGAATATAGGCAAGATACACGAATGGCATCAGATTATGAACAGGTAAATACAGAGTGACATTCATACATTCAATGGCATTTCAGATTGATGGCATGTAATACTTATTTTGTCCACTTGGGGGAGCTCTGGTTACATGAAGATAGATTTGATTATTCCTAAAACAATCCTTTGCTCAGGAGCTGGGAAATTTAGTTATTTAACATTAAATTCGAGCTAGAAAATTAATCGAGTATGACATTTCTTTATCATATCATTTCTAAAGGAAGTGTCAGAAAATTGGGAACAAAGCATTGGTTACAACATAAAATTAAAGCTGCAAGCAGCGTTGGGTGGGCCCTCGCACTTGTAGCGCGTCCGCGCGTGAACCGGCCGAGTTGCATATTCTGGAGCTCTGCCGGTGCGGCTGTGAATTTCCTACGCGGTTCCGACGCCGCATGAAGGTGCTATATGTCACTTCCTGTGTCCCCTATGTGGAGCTACATAGCACTTGCCGCTATGAATATAAATCGTATTGGCGTGTAGATGTCTGCGGGGTGGGAGAGTTATCAAGCACGTAAAGTTTGTTTCAGATGTGAGCATGTACACTGAACAATAATGTACCCAAACAATAAAATAAATTCCTTTTATATTTCCCTGCCTTGTTGTTTATGTGTACATACAGAGGGAGAATGTGAGAACAGCACACATTTCATCGTTACTGTGTGTTAGAGCATGGGAGAACAGTGGATACTTTTAATACAGCCCACACCCCTAATACTGTGTAACTATAACAAGTAGAGAACAGAAGAAAAAGATGTTCTTTCTTTACAACTGTCTGCATAGCTTATTCATATTGTGTAATGAATGAAAATAAATAGGCCTACTAGGCTCCTCTCTACTTTGACATTTAAGATTAGCTTGTTTGATCCACCTTCATACACATGTGACATTACTGTACAACTTGAGAAAGGTGAGTTGTTTTCTGCTCCAGCCTGCCTAAAAGAAAAGCGTTTTTGGGATTAAATGGACTTTATTAGCTGCTGCAGTGCAGGATGAACTCAGAATAGACCCATTTCTCACCTTATTATTCTAAATCATGCAACGAAGAAGAAGAAATGCATAATAAATCCTGGGACAAAATCTGTCCACAAATACTGTACAGCATGTAGTCTGATTAACAAGACTTGTGTTATAGCTGACTTGGGCAGTGAAATGTTAATTTTTTTAATTCATGTGGTCATAGTTGTCCACAACTTAAATCAGAATATAAGAAGAAATGTTTTATACCACC